AGAATCTGCCTCCAGATCTCCAGTCAATACCCTAAATAGTGATGTCTTTCCCGAACCATTCAAACCCAATAAACCCATACATTCAGCCCTTTTCACCACAAATGACACCCCATTTGGCATAACTGTCCTCTTGTTTAGACGTTTTGTCAATTTGTCGATAATTAGTGAATAGCTTTCAAAGTCTCCACTTCTTATCACTTGTGATACCCTTTCCCTCTCTTCCCTCACATCCGGCGGACATTCACTGACTTCTTGTAATTCAATATCATTTGTGTCACGATTTGCCAAAATATTCTTAAGAGACCACAACTTCTTAAATAATTTGACAATAGTTTTATGAAACTTGTATTCAATTGTTATAATTATAGCGAAGTATAAAATGCCATAAATTATATAATGTATGAAATAACCACTTATATAGTGAAATGGATTTAATATTTGATAGCAATTTGCATCAAAATTTTCTCTAAATAATAGATGAATTGTCTCTCTTTCGGACTTTAATTCAAATGTTTGGTTACACTTCGGGAGACAACAGAATTTGAACATTGAATAGTCCAACAAGTAATCGTTATCCTTTGGACAGACAGTGTCTGTACTGTTCATTTTGTCTATGAATGGACACAGATTATTAACTAAAAGAATTTGGTGCAAATGATTCATTTGATCCAAGAATAAGACATTTGGTGTGAGGAATGAGAAGATTTCAATAACATTTGAAACCTTGAATTTGAATTGAAACACAACTTGTAATACAGTTGTGACGGTTCCGGCGATTATGTTATNGAATTGAAACACAAATTGTAATACAGTTGTGACGGTTCCGGCGATTATGTTATATAAGGAAATGAATGTAAAACCCGTCGACGGCTTTGAGAACATAAATGACACCAAATATGCGAACGGAATGAATGCCATTCCGTATGACATAAATGATAGATAGAGAGAGATTGCAGAATATTCTGTGCCAATCAACAGTTGGTTTGTGTCAAACATGTAATAAATCGATACATAAACTGCTGAACAGATTGAGTGTATAGTGAAGTCAAATACAAAGTTTGAGACCCAATAGAGAGTGGGATTGAGTCCAGACATGAATTGAATTAATTTGAATCGAGTTCTCCATTCAGTCAGCGGTTGTAAGACATATGCGGCAGAAGTGAACGAAAATATACACAAAAACACGATATAATCGGTTGCAATCGATATATCTTTAGTCTGTTCCCGATCGTGATATTCATTTACATCCCTCCCCTTCCAGTCAATCATTAATGGCTTATTACTGACACTAATCTCGTAGTCGTTGTCTTGAGTTAAATATTTTATTAAAGCGTTTGTCATTAGATTCAGAGAAATGGGAAGTGAATGATAGGCGTAATAATTGTGCCAAATGTGCATGGACATGGACACGGTATTATTATTTGTAATATTAGCTGATACACCGAATAATAAGTTCTGGAAATAATTTAGTAAACTATGACCAGAATATTCCAGAAGTGATGGCTGAATGTTTTTGTGATAATCACTTCCAAGATCCTCTTGAATGATGTCATTATCAATCAAAACTTGAGCATAACTTTTAGAAAAATCTATATTATTAGAGACAATAAACCCTTTCATTCCGTTTCCATAAATGGTATCACTTTTTAAATCAATTTCTGTCCGATTTGAATGATGTCATTATCAATCAAAACTTGAGCATAACTTTTAGAAAAATCTATATTATTAGAGACAATAAACCCTTTCATTCCGTTTCCATAAATGGTATCACTTTTTAAATCAATTTCTGTCCGATAATTATAGCTTTTCTTGAGTGCAAAGAGTATATCGATTGTTATGAATATCATTGCAATGAAAATGACGGGAATTATGATTAATGTAAATAATTGTGTGAAATGTCGGCACAAGTAATTAAATCTTTTAACAGTTATTCCGTGGATTTGACTTAAAACGAGATTTAGATATGAGTTATGTTTTGATTGAATATTAAGTGATTGAGTGTTCAGTAGATTATCATTATTTTCATCAATAGTTAATTCATTATTATTACTAAAATTATCAATTGATTTGTTGTCGTGTTTTGAGACAATCTTCTCATAAGAGGCTTCAAGGGTTGTCATACTTAAGGAAATGTCATTAATGGCTAAAATACTCTCATTTTGCTCTAAATCCTCAAACATTTTGCCAAATCTAGGACTGTCTTCAAAGTTGAGTTCATAAACCAGTTCTTCATTGTCTGTCAATTCATTTTTGACTAAACTTTTAATTTCAACACTTTTTCCAATAATTTCTGTCATTTTGTTTTCCGTTTGAAATTCAATACTCTTTTTAATTTTCAAATGATATCCGGAATTGAATTGATTTTTCATTTCAAGAGGGGATCCATTGAAACATACCTTTCCTTCGGATATAATGTAGATCTGATCCGAAAGTTTATTCGCTTCTTCGAAGTCATGAGAAGTAATTAAAAGTGATTTCGTTTTTCTTGAGTCAATGATCAGATCCCAGACCTTTCGCCTGACTCTGGGATCCAAAGCAGCCGTCGGTTCGTCTAATATTAAGGTTCGGTTGCGTCCGACGAAAGCCATCGCCAAAACCAATCGCCTGAGTGTTCCGCCCGACAGATGATACGCCTCTTTGTTTAGTTCTTCCTCGAGATCTAACCATTGGATCAATTGTTGACCACTATATCCATCATTACTTTGACGTATAGTTTGCTTCAATTGTGAAAAAATCATTAAATGGTCTCTAATTGTCAAGTATTTGAAGTAAACGTTATTTTGCGGACAAATTCCGCACTCATTTCGAGCCAATTGTGTCTCTCGTGTGATATCGTGTCCACCGATTGTCACCTTTCCTTCAAAGTCTAGTAATCCTTTGAAAAGATATTATTTATATTAATATATATTTAGTATAATTCAAGAAAACATTTATATTACTATATATTACCCGTAATTATATTAATAAGAGTTGTTTTTCCGGAACCGTTTGGACCCAGAATTACAGCAATAGTGTTGTTATCGACGTCTAAATCAATGTCTTTCAGAATATTCTCTCTCTTCAAACCAATCATTGATTTATAAGTTTTGCTTAATTTCTTGATTGAAATCAATTTCTGAGACTCAATAATCGGTTCATAAATAATTTGTAAGTTTTTCCATAGTTTTTGTTTTAATTTCTCATAAATCCATTGAATCGGAAAATAAAAGGGTTTATGAATTGAATGTTTGAATGGTATGACTGAAGAGAAATACCAAATCATGAGTCCATACATCGGATACGAGATTAATATCATAACTAATATATGGCTTAAAGTCATTTCATCGAAAAGATATCCGGAATTAAATACATGGACCCAATCGGCGCCAGAATTGGCATTCAATTCCAGACCAACACATATATGAATGAACCAAAACAGGACATTAGTAGGCAGTAAACAGGACAGGGATTCCAACCCAATGTGCTCTAAAATAGGTTTGCCTCTGCCTTTAAATCCAAACATATATCCAATAGGGATTGCATATGTGATTATCCATAAAATAATGGTAAGAATGACTGCAATGTATCCTGAGGACTTCTTATGCCTATATTTACGTTGTTTTTCATACGTAACTTACTCTTTATCATGCGAAAAGACTGCAAACAATGACAAAGAGATTCCGTATAGAAGTGAATGCGAATGTACCAAGGTCTTGTATTCGTAGGAATCGTAATATTCAAAGTTATGGTAACACATAATTAATATAATTATAAAATATTGGACACCAATGACAGTGAGGGCGAGTTACTATTGTCGGTAGGTCACCAGTTAGGAGAGCTAAGGGTTAACTTTGTTTATCAGACATTAGGCACAGACAGACAGGAGATGATATGCGAAGTGTTAGTGGCCATTGTAGTGATTATTCAGTTATAATATAACCACTACAGTAATATAGTGATAATCATTTGAATAATAACTTTGCATTTTATTCAGTAGAGTCACCGAAGGGAACGGGTAAACTACACTTCACTACAAATGTAGTGAATATTGACTAAATAATCATTAATTACTTTATACACGGTTTAGATATCTATCAACATTAAGACACTTTGGTATTGAATTTATACTTAATATTATGCTCAATTTAGTGACAAAATCCTTATATGAATAGATCATACGATAGGTATCCCCGTTTTCAAAATGGTTGTCATACACAGTAATCTTATAATTGAGGTGTTTGGGTGGCCGGCCCTCAATCGCCCCCTTGTCATCCATAGTAAAACTCACGCCAAACACATATTTAATATTATAATAAATTTCTTCATAATATTCAGTTTTAATCGATTTCTTCAGTAATGATTGCAATTCTTGGTCACTGTTAACACCCAATAGATGTATATCCCTATAGAGTTCAGTTCTCAATTGATTCCGCACTGAATTCATGAGACTATTGGTGTAGTTATTGTCGGGATAGTAGATAATACCCACCGTTTGCCTCCAGTTATTCATGAAAGTAATGTCACCGTAAAATGTTTTGGGTGAAAAATATGTGGCGTTCAATACAGTTGTGTTTATGGGATGTTTTTTAGCGTATTCAATGCGGTAGTTATAATCATTAATGTTTCGACCGGTTAGCCATACCATTAGTCCGGCAAAAATGATGGGAACTATGAATAGCAATACAAATGCTATCTTATGGTGGAAACGGATTAACCAATTCTTGTGCAGTAATAGCCGTATGATTATTATATGACTCTTTAGATTCATGTTTTGTTATTATAAAATGTATTTCAAAATAACATATAAATAGGCTGTTTAAGAATTTGATAAAATGAATAAAATTTTCTAAATCATTTATATAAAACTTAAAATAAATGAAAGAAAAACCCAATATATTCTTATATAATGTTTGTTATACTGAATTAATAAAACATTTTAATTCGATGTACTATACAAAAAACAATGAATATATTGTTTTACACAACCCTTTTTGAAATACTGTAGGAAATGGCTAATACAGTAATTAATTGTATTCAAAAATGTTTTGACATAAACTGAAGGTTGATATAAATAAGACTTATTTGAAGGTCTGTTGGGTAGACTGTATTGATAGTCAAATACTGATGCCTTTTATCATATCTGGTGTTAGAAAGCAAACTTAACTGTAACGTTTTTATAGCCGCCGCTCAGTATACTTATGGGGCTTGGATATGTTATAGAGTACATGTCCCTGATAACATACAACTAAAAATTACCGGCCAAATCCGGTTATTTGGTGTCCATTTCTGGCCGCAAAAAACGTACCGAAAGCTTACA